TACTGTTAACTGGTTAAAAAAAAAAGGCTAAGTGACTTGCCCAAGGTCACAAAGTAAATAATAAAGGCAGGATTTGAACCCAAGTCTCCACTAGTCTCAAAGCTAATGCTTTTTTTCCATTACACTATCTTTGCAGCAAAGTACAACATAAACCGCTTACAAGCTTAGCCCAGTTTCTTCCCTTTGAAGTTCTTCATAACCTTTCTCCCTTCCAACTTTTCCAGTCTTCTTACTTTCTACTCCTCTCCACAAACTATAATCCAGTCATATAGACACGCTCTTTATTCCTCAAACAAGGTACTCCATTTCCCATCTCAGTGCCTTTGGACTAGCAGCTCCCATGCCTAGAATGCTTTCCCTCCCAATCTCTAACTCTCAGTCCTTGGCTTCCTTTATGAATCAACTTAATCACAACTTTGTACCCATTGGCATTTCTAAGTCTCTAGAGTGGCTAGTACCATCACCTCCAATGTTAGTTTCCATCTCCTTTGTATTTATTTTGTATGTACTGATTTATATGTGTTGTCTTCTCCATTCTAACATAAGCTCCTTGAAAGTGGGGCTGTTATTGCTTTCTCTTTGTATTTCCAGCATTTAACGCAATGCCTAGCACAGAGTAAGTACTTAATAAATGTTGATTGAATGATTTTGGTTGTACACAGTAAATATTGAATAAATACTTGTTGAATTGCATCAAGGGCAGAGACTATTTCATTTCTGCTTTTGTATCAATACTACCGACCATAGTGCCTTGCATGTTAAAGGACTTCGTACATGCTTGTCGAATTCATTGAACTGAATTAAATGATGCCCTGATCTCTTCTCCTGTGAGAGAGAATGCACTCATCTGTGAATATTATATAATTATATAGAAATACCTTCTGCTAAATGTGACTACATGAGAGAGGAGGGAGACATCTTTTTTAAGTACATTTGTATAGTAAAATGGTCTAGATAAACGAAGTTCATAGATTTTAGGGCTGGAAGGAAACTTAAGAGTAAAGGGTTTGCTAGAACCAGCTTGTAATAACCAAATGTTAAATTTTCAGTGTAAGCATTAACAGCTCAGAAATCTGGAAACACTCAAATCAGGGCTTAATTCTTTTTCTTTGTTTGCTAATTATCTAGACCTAAGAAAGTAATGGAGAAAATGTTAATATTGCAAATTAGACTACATTGGTACTGCCTCAAATCTCCACCATACTCAATAATCCTTCTCACAGTTGCCAGTGATTTTCCTTAACTGCAGATCTCTCTTCTCCTCAATTAATTCCAGTGACCTTATAAATTCCTCTGCTTAGTGCTTAAAACCCTTCACAACCTAGCCCCAGTCTCTTCTCTGGCCTTGTACATTACTCCCCCATGCACATACATTACAACCCAGCCAAATTGGCAGTCTCTCTACTCTTCACCCAAGAGTACTACTCCATCTCTAGTCTTTGCACCTCTGTATTCCATGCCTGGAATGAACTCCCTCACCTCTACCTCAAAGAATCTGTTCCATCCTTCAAGACTTAGTTCAAGCACCACTTTCTTTTTACCTGAAACTTTTCCTGATATCCCTAACTGCTGGTGCCCTCTTTCACCAACTACTTTGTATTCATTTGTATTTATTCTCTTTTTATTTATTCTGTACATACTTACATACATATATATAGATATACACATATATGTATATGTACATAAACATGTACATACACATACTTCCATATGAGTTGATAAGGGAAGATTGTCTAGCAACAGTGAGGACCCATTTGAGGTTATATAACATAAATTTGTAGTGGACCCAATCAGAACTGTTGCCATGATTTTCTCCACCTTCATTCAGCAGCTCTTCATAACCTACCTTGCCCCCTTCTTTCTTTGCAGTCTTACTACACCTTACTCCCTGCTATATATTCTTTGATCCAGTGACATTGGCCTCCAGGCTGTTCTGAAACAAGACACTCTATCTCTCAGCTCCTGGCATTTTCTCTCTCTCTCTCTCTCTCTTTTTTTAGTGAGGCAATTGGGGTTAAGTGACCTGCCCAGAGTCACACAGTTAGTAAGTGTCAAGTGTCTGAGGCTGGATTTGAACTCAGGTCCTCCTGACTCCAAGGCTGGTATTCTATCCACTGTGCCACCTTGCTGCCCCTTCTGGCATTTTTTTCAAGCTATCCATTTTGCCTGAAATGTTCTCCCTCCTCATCTCTACTACTGACTTCCCTAGCTTCAAGTCTCAACTGAAATCCCATCTTTTACAGGTAGCCCTTCCCAACCTCTCTTAATTCTAGTGCCTTCCCTCTTTCAATTATTTCCTATTTATCCTGTATGTAGCTTGTTTCTACATATATGTTTGCTTGTTGTTTCTCCCATTAGACTTTTAGCTGTTTGAAGATAGGAACTGACTGTCTTTTGCCTCTTTTTGTACCCTCTTAATATTTCAGCACAGTACCTGGCATATAGTAGACCATTAATAAGTTTTTTTGTTTGAATTCCAGTGCCAAACACAGTATTATGTGAATTGTAGATACTAAAGAAATGTGTGTAGACTTTGGATGTGAAATTTGCCTATCTATGTGACCATACTGGCAGCAATTTTTTCCTGCATCAAGGACTGAATGTACATATGCTCACATAATGTCAGAACTGGAAAGGGACCTTAGAAACCATTTATCCATCTTCCTCTCCAAGAGAGACAAAGTGCAATTTGCCCCATCGAAGTTAAGAAACAGCAGAACTGGGCTTTGAACAAAGTTGTTATGCAAAATCTAGTACTCTTTCCACTATATCTCTGTACCTTTCACATGTAAAGTCCATTTTTTAGGTTACAATTTTGACTGCTGTTATCAAAACTTGGTGTTCTTTGCAATTCTGAGTTTTGGAATCACAATCAGTTTGTGGTCTTTACCTAAATATTCAGTACTACTTTCTGAACCCAACATATCCAGGTTGGCTTTTCTGACAGTTGTGGTTCCCCGAAGGTTTCTTTCAGTCATCTGACAGGTAGTCACCTTGTAGCAACAATTGTGGTGTTTCTACTATCATTTATTCTCTGAAAGGGCTTTACCCACTTAGAGTTAGTAGCAAACATTTTAATTCTGGCTGTGTTTGGAACTGATTTTACTTGGTTGTTGTACAAGGATGGAATCAGTCAGACTAGATGACCTATAAATCTTCTTCCAAAAGACTCATGATTAAAAAATGTTATCCACATACAAAAATATTTATAGCAGCTCTTTTTGTGGTGGCAAAGAATTGGAAATTGAGGGGATGCCCATCAATTGGGGAATGGCTGAGCAAGTTGTGGAATATGAATGTAATGGAACACTATTGTGCTATAAGAAATGATGAGCAGGCTGACTTCAGAAAAACCTGGAAAGACTTATATGAACTGATGCTGAATGAAGTGAACAGAACCAGGAGAACGTTGTACCCAGTAACAGCCATGTTGTGTGATGACTGACTTTGATAGACTTGACTCTTCTCAGCAATGCAAGGATCTAAGACAACTCCAAAAGACCCAGGATGGAAAGTGCTATCCACATCCAGAGAAAGAATTATGGAGTCTGAATGCAGATGGAAGCATACTATTTGCAATTCTTTTCTTTTGTTGTCTTGTTTTGTTTTCTCTTTCTCATGGTTCCTTCCATTAGTTCTAATTGTTTTTTACATCATGACTAATGTGAAAATACACTTAATTTGAATGTACAAGTAGAGCTTATATCAGATTACATACCATCTTGGGAAGGGGAGAGGAAAAGGAGGGGAAGAAAATTTAAAACTCAAAATCTTATAGAAGTGATTGTTGAAAACTAAAAATAAATAAATTAATTATTAAAAAAAAACCATTATCCACCTTCAAAGAGAGAATGGGCTGTGAGTGCAGATTGAAGCATCCTTTTTCCTTGTTTCCTTTTTTTTCTTTTTTGGTCTATGCTTTCTTTTCCAACACGGCTAATATGGAAATATGTTACATGACTTAACATGTATTATGGGGGCAGTTGGGTGGTGCAGTGGAAAGAGCTCCAGCCCTGAAGTCAGGAGGCCCTGGCCTCAGATACTTATTAGCTGTGTGACCCTAGACATGCCACTTAGCCTTATTGCCTTAGTTTCTTCATCTGTAAAATAAGATAGAGAAGGAAATGACAAACCATTCTGGTATTTTTGTCCAGAAAACCCCAAATGGAGTCAGAAAGAGTCAGATACGACTGAAAAAGAATAAACAATAACATCATGTATAATTGATATCTATTGGTTGCCTTCTCAAGGGGTAGGAGGAAGGGAGAGAACTTGGAATTCAAAGTTTTAAAAAATTAATTGTTAAAAACATTTTTAATGTAATTGGGAAATATGTAACAAAATACAATTTTTTTTATCAAAGTAGGAAAAAAAAAAGCAAATTACTGACCAAGACCTTAGTTTTGGTCTGGATGCCTGTGACTCTTCAGAGGATCAGAGAACTTTTTATTTCTCCCTCGAGAGTGCTGAGGGAAAAGGCGGGGAAAGGGACCAAGAAGCTGAAAGGTAGAGGACGTCCTCTGGGGCTCAAGGTCGAGGGCGGAATCTAGGTGGAGAGGACTACACTTCCCAAGGGGCAGCGCGGCAGCACCAAGGGGCGGAAGGAGGGGTGGGGCCACTTCCGGAAGAGCGGTTCCTCCCTCCCCGGAAGCACTCTGGAGCGTCCAGCTCGACAAATCCCGCAGTGACAGGTTAGAGATGCCGCCGTTGGCCATGGACGAACTGGGAACATGAGAGGTGCTGCGGAGCCTCCTCGGGCGCGGCCCCCTTACGTGTCCCCGCGGCGGGGCCCGGAGCCCTCTCAGTGATTGGCTGCAGGCAGCGACAGCGACAGCGGCAGCGGCAGCGCCTGCGAAGGCAGCCCCGGCTCCCGGACGTTCCCTCTCAGGCCCGGGGCGGGGGAGGCGCCGCCTCGGAGCAGGGGGAGGGAACGACACCCCCCCTCGCCCCCCGTGCGTGTGCGCGTGAGGGACTCGGGAGGGCGCGCGCCCCCGGGCTCGCCCCCGGCCCACGTGCTGGGTGTCATCTCCCCCGGAGGCAGCCCGGCGCCATGTGGAGCAGCCGGAGCTCCTTCACCAGCCTCATCGTCGGGGTGTTCGTGGTGTACGTGGTGCACACCTGCTGGGTGATGTACGGGATCGTCTACACCAGGCCGTGCAGCGGGGACAGCAACTGCATCCAGCCGTACCTGGCGCGGAGGCCCAAGCTGCAGGTGAGTGCCCCTCCCTCTCCCCCTTCCCGGCCCGTCCCTCACCTGTGCGCGCTCGGCCCTTCGGCCCCACCCCCCCCGCCGAGTGTGTGTCATCGCCTCTATTAGAGCTTCAGAGTGTGTATTATATGTCTGTGTACATATACACACGTAGCCTATATACCATGGACAGTCACATGTAACCGGTATAACGTGTGTGTTGTATGTGCATATGCACACAATAGACAAAATGTATGTATTCATTATACGAGTATGTGTGCACATATATGTATTGTGTATTATATGTATGTGTACGCATAATGACATATAGCAGCGTGTATATGCACAAAACAGAAAGAGCATGTATGAGTGCATTACATTACATATACATATAATAGATACATGTGTGCATATGTGTACACAAATGACGGGTGTATCATTCATGTATCTGTGTTGTGTATATGCACTATACCACATGTGTTGTGTATACATGTACAATAGCTCTAACATTGTATGTGCACTTATGTGTGTATGAAACTGGCATCCCAATTAGAGGATGTCTGTCTACTGAACCATCTCCATGGGTTCATGATTGTTTTGTCCTTCTCTGTGAAATGAGGGGAAGTGAGGGCTCCAGTTGGGAGACCTACCCCTTTGAATGGGAAGACAAATTGCTACTTTGGGAGTTTGTTCTTAGTTTCTTCAAATAAATAAGATTTACTTTGTTTATAGTAGGGCAGAGATCTTTGATTCCTTTTCCTCCATTCTCAAGGGCATTTTATTAGTAGCTTTTGCAAATATATTACCAGATTATCCCCCGATATTGCATGTGTTTTCTTTTTGTATTTATAATGTAGTTTAGGATGTCTTAACTTCCAAAGATAAAACTTTTTGCCAGCCTCTTTAGCTGGTCATATTGTAAAAATATCAGTAGTGTGTGTGGGGAATGGGGAAACTTTGTTGGATATATGTACATTTTCTAACAAGGGTCCCTTGTGCACTAATTTGTCTTTTTCATCATTGCTTGCCAGCTGAGTGTGTACACCACTACAAGGTCCAATCTTGGTGCTGAGAATAATATAGATCTGGTTTTGAATGTGGAAGATTTTGATGTTGAGTCTAAATTTGAAAGGTATGATATTAGTGTTGTAAATTTTTAAATGAAACTTTGTTGTTTTTCTTGTTGAAGTACATTGTTTAAAAACTAAGATCATAAATGTAGCATACTATTCTGTCTTATAAATAAAGCCTTGCTTTTATCAGGTTTAAGAAACAAAATATTCCAAAATTCTAAAGTCACCATTAGAGCAACATGCCAGAGTACATTATGTATAGTTAGAATCACACTTTAGAATCACCATATTCCAACCCAAAAGTACAGTAATCACAATGTGGTGAACAACATACAAAAGATAGTTTCTAGAACTGAATTTGGCAAAAATTAATGTCAGTGTTTACATTAAATATGTTTATGTTGTTTATATTATGTATGAGTAGTTTATTTTGCACAGTATGAAGAATTTGTATTTTGTTTGCTTAGTTTTGACATATCTGTGTAAAAGTAAGGTTCTTGAGATAAGAAAATAGATTGAACATGGAGGCTAAATAATAGAAAAGTCTAAATATGTCAAGTTAAATTATTTTTTTAAATGGGAGACAAATGAATTCTATCTCAAGTCATCAAATTTTAAAGGTAGTAAGATAATTATTTTTAGGATTCTTGTTTATCTTGTTTTCTCAGTTATTCACAGCTTTTAAATGGAAATCATCACTGGCACCTAGGGTCAGAAAATGCTCCATTTGTGCACTAAAATTCTAATTAATATTTTTTTCTCTGGACTTGTGATTTCCTTGGTGTAATGAACCCCCCAGTGAAGAAACACCCCCTACCCATGCAAATCAGCAACTGATAGTCTTACAGTGTTAGGAAGAGAATTATGAGGTTATGACTCGACCTGTCACACACAGTGCCAGTCAAGAATGCTTGCTTTTGTGGCAAGAACTCAAAATTTGACAAGAAAACACTAGATTTTTTTTTAAATATACTGTTAGTGGTGAATATTCTTTAAAATTTTTTGGTTGAATGATCCTATCAAGAAAGTTTTAGAGTAGCATTTGAGGAATTTATGAGACAGATACTTCCAATTCACTGTTTCTTTGAAGCTTGTAGTAAAATCCTGTGTGTGGAGATCTAATTTTTTTGTACTAGTAATGAGGTGTTTTTCATTGTGTCTAGCACTACAATATGAATTCTTTGGAGATAAAAAATGCTTACTGCTGGGGCAGCTAGGTGGCACAGTGGATAGAGCACTGGCCCTCGATTCAGGAGGACCTGAGTTCAAATCGTGCCTAAGACACATAACTCTTACTAGCTGTGTGACCCTGGGCAAGTCACTTAACCCCATTGCCTAGCCAAAAAACAAAAAAAAAATGCTTACTGTTTAAAGTCATTAGAATGTTTAGATATTTTAATGCCATAAAAATTTAATACGTGTAGAAATTTAACAGTTCACTACATTGGAATCATAAAACAAAATTATGTAATTCTTAAAAAAAACTTTTATAGAACAATGACTTAACAATCTTATATATAATTTAACCTGTAATAGTTAACATAGGCAAAATCTGGCTAATTCAGAGATAAAACTGGTTTGCATAGGCCTACATATTTTTCTTTTGTTTCTAATAAAATACCATCCTTCATCTATGAATATGAAGCTACAAATTCAATATATTAGGTACATAAAGTTTTCAGCTTCCATTGAAAAGAAAGTAGATCTTTAAAACCAAGAATGGTTTTAAAACTGAGCCTTGTGTTTCCAGAGACTTTGATTGCTTTAAAGTTCTAACCTCCATGACACAACACTTAGTATTTGTATTACTTAAATTACTTGATTTGAGAGTTTGGAAACCTAGCTTCAAATCCCTCCTTAAGCACATTAATTAGCTCTTTAATCATGCACTTATTAGTTAACCTCCCACGAAGTAGAAAGAACTATGATCTTGGAGGCAGGGTCAGAATTTGAATCCAGGCTCTGCCACTTACCACCTGTGTGACCTTGGACAAATCACTTAACTGATTTGGACCTGAATTTTCTCATCTTTACAATGAGATGGCCCTCTAAGGGCCCTTCCAATTCTGTATTTGTGATTCTGTGATCTATGATTTATAATTTATAAAATGGTGGTAATAATTTTTGCACTAAGTACATCACAAGATTGTAGTTAGGAAATGAACATTTTAAGTAAGATGCAAACAAGTTGTTTTTGTTGTTAAAATGCTAATTATTACAAAAATTGTTATGAAAATGTACTACTTTCGGTGGAGTCATGTGCAGGTGTCTTTTTGGTTAACTGTAACTATAATTAGTTGATTTGAAACTGCTGTTATTCATACTATGCAGGTGATTGTTATCTTTATTTTATTTTTTCTTTAGGACAGTCAATGTATCTGTGCCAAAGAAAACAAGAAATAATGGCACATTATATGCTTACATATTTCTTCACCATGCTGGGATCTTACCTTGGCATGATGGTAAGCAGGTGCATATAGTCAGTCCTCTCACTACATACATGGTTCCCAAACCAGAAGAAATCAATCTTCTCACAGGAGAATCTACTACCCAGGTAAGCTTATTGTTTACTAATCAAAATGGAACCTGTTCTGTTTTGCTGTTCTTGGTTGTTTAGAGATGTGGCAGGTCTTGTGAAATAACATAGAAATTTTAATTATAAAATCATACTGTAACATTGAAAGTAAGGTAAATGTTTTGAATTTAATCATTTGTAATGAAATTGTAGATTCCAATTAACACTGCAGATAAGTCATCAGACTTGGAGTTCAAAAGTTCACTTCACTAAAGTTCACTTAACTAGCTATGTGATCTGTGAAAATCCCTTAACTTCTCTGAGTCTGTTTTCCCAGCTGTACAGTATATGATAATGATAGCATTGTTCAAATGAGGTAACATATATAAAGCATTTTATACACCTTGAACTGGTATGTAACATTAACTATTTTTTTTTGTTATTTGTTGACATGGTAGGAAATACAAAAACAAATTGGGAAATAATAACCTAAATAGTTTGCCCAAACTACTTCCCAAATCCATGGCACGTCCAGATTTCATGAAATTATTTTTGAAGAAACCTCTATAGTCTGTTTTTCAACTGTTAGAAATCATTTTGAAGAGTTAGCTTCATATTTCCCAAACTAGGTTCATACTCCCACAGCTAGTAACTTCACGATTTAATAGGCCAAAAGGGCTAAAAGGATTTGGATCCTTGTTTACCTTTATTGTCATACTTAATTGTTTATTGATTAAGATTATTATAGACTTGAAGAGGAATGTAAGTAAATAAAAAATGAGATGAGCTTTAGAACAAGATCACTTGCTTTGGAGAAAACGCTTTAGATGTGTGACTTGTACAAAATGTTCTACTGAATGAAGTCAGTCAGATGTTGAACACATCAATTAAGAAAAAACAGAAACTAACCAATTACTTATACTTTACTCTCTCTGTGATCCTCATCAGTGTGAGAATTTCCTCTTCCCATGTAGAAAGCAAACCACCTATACTTCTTAATCAATTATAATTCTTGTCCTTTTTCTAACATAAAGGATCTCTCCATGACGTGAAAGCCTTTTTCTTGGTCTTTTAATTTTTCATGGATGCCAGTGCAACTCTTGAACTCTTGCTAACCTTGCTCAACTCAACTCTTGCTATCTTGATCAGCCCACCCCACCCTTCCTTTCTGGTCATACATGTCCTCAGTGATGCAGTAGATCATAAAGTTGGAGCTGGAGAAAACCTTGGAGGACATAGTCTAGTCCCCTTATTTTACAATTCAGGAGACTGAGTTCCAAGGTCCCACAAGTAGGAAGTAGCAAAGAACAAGATTTGGTCCTTTGTTTCCAAAACCAGGTCTCTTACTTCTCATATGTAGATCGTTGAGGTCCCTTTGTTTTAGAAGGTAAATAAAATAACACAGGAAAGTATTCTTTCTAAGTCTTATGTAACTTTCCTTTTTAATTAGTCCTCAAACCATCTGCAATATTTCTATTCTAATTCCTTTTCTGAATTGTATTTAATAAAGATTAATTATCAATTACCACCTTTTCTTTCCAAACAATTTCTGACTCTTGGTTTTGGAAGGATCTTCTTTTTAGTTCAGTTGCTGATTTGTTAAAGCAGTAAACTACCAGTGCCTGCACTATCTTTTATGCATCTCAAAGGTTCCGAGAAGAACATTTGAGAGGCCTTTCTGAGAATAGGCAAGAGCTCATCTTAGTAACTCAGAAGTAGAAAGGTTGAGTGTGCACAAAGCGTGACAGCCTCATGACTTCCTCTTTCAGCTGGGAAAATGGAAGTGAGAGAAAATAAATTAGGGTCCAAGGCTGGTTAGGTGGTGATGGGCTAGAATGGAATGCTCAGACTAAGCCATTAGCAGGTAGTGTGAGATCTCTTTATCTGCTTTATTACCAAAATGTAAAGGTCCCATATGCTGCTATTTCTTTTTGATAATGTATAAGAACATACACTTTATATATTTATATTTTGACAGTGTTTAAGAACATAAATATTCATCTACTAATTTTCCATTCATTTCAGGATATATTTATTAAGTGCCTCTCAACCACTTTTCTGGGGAGAAGTTCCTGTACCCAGGGAACATGGAGGCAGCCCAGTGGCAGATCATTGTCTCAGAGTACAGGAAGCCAGTTTGTGTTCCGCTTCATTACTTAATAATTAACTGTGATCCTGAGCAAATCACTTAACCTCTCTGTCTCCACTTTTTCATTTGCAAAATGGGGATAATAATAGCATCTACCTTACAGGGTTGTTGTGAAGATTAAATTATGTAATGTATGTAAAGCATTTTATAAATGTCAGTTATTAATAATGCTAGGGATGAAAGCACAAGTTCATCAGTAGCTACAGTGCAAATGGAGCAGGGAACCTGCAGCCTGGAGGCCACATGTGGCCTTCTGGGTCCTTGGGTGTGGCCTTTTGACTGAGTCCAAGTTTTACAGAACAAATCCTTTTATTCTGTGAAGTTTAGATTCAGTGAAACGGCCACACTTGAGGACCTAGAGGGCCACATGTGGCCTCGAGGCTGCAGGTTCCCCACCCCTGAATTGGAGTATTTAAGAACATATAAGAAAGGAACTGTGCACTCTGAGCTCAGATGAAGAAGACATTACAACTGACTAGGAGGATGACTGTGAAAAGGTCACAGGGTGGATTTTAAACTGAAATGAGGGGCAGCTAGGTGGCTCAGTGGATAAAGTACCAGTCTGGAGTCAGGAGGATCTGAGTTCAAATGTGACCTCAGACACTTGACACATATATTACTAGCTCTGTGACCCTAGGCAAGTCACTTGACCCCAATTGCCTAACTAAAAAAAAAAAGACAAAAAAAAAACCTGAAATGAAAAGAACAGGAGAAATTTCAATGGACATGGACAGTATAGGGGATAATGTGAGTGAAGGCACGGAGGCAGAAAAGTCCTGGTTGTACATTTTTGATTTTGATTAATACATGTTGTGTGTGTGTTTTTTTTTTTTATTTACAAGCAAATTGAAGCAGAAAAGAAACCAACAAATGCCCTAGATGAGCCAGTTTCTCACTGGAGATCAAGGTTAACACTCAATGTGATGGTGGATGATTTTGTCTTTGATGGGTCCTCTCTCCCAGCTGATGTTCATAGATACATGAAGATGTAAGTGTTGATTCTATTAGTAAATGAATATTAACAGTGCAGTTAGCCCTGGATTCACCATGGTGATGGAGACACCACTGACAGAAGGATAATTAAAAATGCTAGGTGATCAAAAAATTACTGGAATTCATAGCTTCAAGTAATTAAAGCAAATTTGCATTTTTTGAGCTGGTACAAACTGGTGGTAGAATAAGTAAGGCAAAAGTTTTTTGGTGACTAGTTAGAATTCAAATTTGAATATAGATTATTAAAAATGTATTAACAGTTCTCAAGTAGTTGAGCTTATTAAGCAGATTCTGAGGGGTACCATTTTTTTGCCAGGATTATTCCCACTGTTTGCTTTTTGGCTATTTAAGTCATTAGTCTAATTACTCGGATGGGGCAAGGAAAACAAACTCTAGTTGGTTAGTTTTGCTGTATGACACACATTATTGTGGAGAAGAATGTTTACATTATTTGTCAGATTATGAGTTTCATTCTTCTGTGCTTTCTCAAGTCATTACTGTAGTGAGACTACTATTTCTTGTAAATTTTTATCTCCTCTTCTTCCTGTATTAAGATAGCACACTTTTGTCCTTTTAATAGGTAAATGGTTATAAAAGCACACACTAGGCGGAATTGCCTTTTATGTTTAGCCATTCCAAAATCAGGATGTTCAAAAAATGCATTTGTCTGGAGAAGTTTTATGATAATCTATTTAGACATAAATTTCAAGTTAGACCGGTAAGAGTTATGCAAGCTCATCTTCTAAAGGCAGAAGTAGTCATGGGTTAGGATAATATAACTTAATAGATTATTGTATAGATTCAGATTGTCATACTAAACTTTTTTTCTGGCTTAATATTCCAGAATTCATGTTAAAATCCTTATTTTAATATCACAGGGTTCAGTTGGGAAAAACAGTACATTACTTGCCCATTCTATTTATTGATCAACTTAGCAACCGAGTAAAAGATCTAATGGTAAGTGCTTGTCTATTCATTGCTTTAACGAAGTATTAGATTATTTTTAAAAGACCATAATGTTAAATATTATAATAATGATTCATTCTTTTGCTAGTTTTTGCTATTTGAGACATTAATTAGTAACTCAAGGGTTTTCTTTGTAAGAAAAGGAACATTCTTATTTATGTGTTAAAAGCTAACCCTTTCAGAATATGTAGTATACTCTATATATAGATATATATATAGATGTAGCATATTCAGCACGTAGATACTATTTAGAACACTAGAAGAGGCAGCTTATCAACTGGTGCTTAGAGAACAAAAGAACATGTGTATATACATACACTAATATATAGATGTGTATATATATTAACATAATCTCTTGTGGCTATAACAGAAGTTAGATAATCCAAAGTGATGTTTTGAGATATTCTTCTCTCATGTGAGCTCAGCAAACTAATGTTCTATTCACATAATGCACACACAGGCATTATATGAATAGAAACTATAACATATAATTACTGTTATTTCCTTCTAGACTTTATAATAATTAATAGTAATAAATTTAATAATAATAAGTTTATTTTATCTGTACAACAGTCCATTGAATATTAAATATAGAGGAATAATAAATAGCAGAATGGCAGCTGTTCCCATGATTACTTCTATTTGAACCCCATCCAAAAAAAGATGAGAATGGGATGATAATAATAGTGAAAAAACTCAGAAACCCTGAAACACTGACCAGTTGGGTTTTAGCAGTGCCACTGATTGGGTTTTAACACCACAGCCAGTATGCAAATAAGAAATAGACTGGACAACATGGGGTTGCACATAGGCTTCATTGGAACTATTGTGATGAATGTCTCGACCCAGATAATAGCAGAGAGAGTGGTGCTCCTTAATGTTCTGGTAGCAGAAAAATATAAAGTATATCAGGGACAAATTAGAATTACTAATACTCTGCATGCTGAAAATGCTTTGATATGGGTGCTCCAGACCACTGAAACAAGTAAACCATGAGCACTCAGGAAATAAGGTTGAAAGTACAAGTGTTTTTTATTATGTGCCAGTGCAGCATAATGACAAAATTAGAAACTGATCTTATCAATTATAGGCAGGAGCTTTATCCTGCTTTTGTCAATGATATCCTCAACTCCAATGTGCAAGATATTGGCAGGGCAGTCATAAGAAATAACTTCATCATTAAGCCCAAATTAGGTGAAACAAGAGCAGAAATTAAGAAGTAACTTAAATCTGGAGATCCTGAAGGCAATGAAAATCTGTCCTTAACATAAACTTTAGAAGTACTAGCTAATAATGAAAGAATGGGAAAAAAATAGTGCCAATATCTTGAATGTTTTTGGAGAGAAGAGCATTGTTTAGTGGAATTTTGAAATGCTCTTTTTAAGTTTGATGGCACAAATCAAGCTAATAAATTAACTATGTAGAGGTCTGCAAAACAGTCCACTTATGTAAAGCAAGAACTGTCTGTACTAGCAAAGCGCTTTTATCAGCTTCATCTCTGATGCAAGCTTGATCCTGTCCTTCTTAACAGAAAATATCACATATTAATAAAAGAAGAGAGCACGTTACTAAAAGTGACCCCTTCCAAATATAGATCAGCTACATGTTTAGGTACTTTGTACAAAGCAAGCACATCTTATCCTCTCAAAAAAGTCTATACTTAAAAAAAGACAGTAGGTTAATGGAGGTTCAAAGAGTATGTCAAAAAATCCCAACACATTTTAATTTGATAATTGAACAAGCCACCCAAAAATACTGTCACATTTTACTTTGCATATATTCATTATCACAAAGCCTTTGACTTAAGTTCCTCATTCTTAGTGATATGATGTATCGTAAACATATAAAACAGATCTAAGCATATGCTAGAGTATTTGATGTTCACATAGAAAACTTTTCTCTATAAAGTTTCTATTTAAAACATACCACAAACAAGGTAATGTGAAGAACAATTGTTAGAAAACATAACATCTTCCAGGGAAACAGCATATACTTGCTATGGTTATACTTAGCCTTAACCCCATTATCAGTACTCCTGACTAGAACCGATTATGATTTTTAAGGAAAAGTCTGGAATGACCAAAACATTGTATTAATCACTTGATGTACACGGCTAACATAAAGTCATGTGGTTCCACTGAAAATCACATAAAAAAATTTACTGCATTTCATGGAAACTTTTTCCAGTGATATCAAAATGCCATTTTTTACCCAAGAAGTAAAATTTGGAACATGTACCAAGAAAGAACACTAAACTAAACACTTTGAATTTCAATCTGAAAGTCAACACAAACCATTTGATAATAGTAATCACCTATTGATTGGTCTTCTCTAGGATGTACAGAACAAGCATAAGGCAATCAGAGAGAAGTCTCAGCCAGTATATGTTGAGAAACTGACTGGCATCTCAGAAGACAAAGCATAATGAGGAGTGTACATTTAAATTAGTAAATGCCTTTGCAATGCCAGTCTTAGCATATAAGTTGGGCATGGTAAAATAGGATAAGAGCACATTTAGAAGGTGCCTAAACAAAGATGTATAGTAATGTTAAAAACAAAACAAAACAAAACATGAACTCATTACTCCAGGAGAGCTATAGAAAGATGAATGCTTGTTTCAAAAAGAAAGTATAGCATTGATAGGTATTCATGATAAACATTGGAAAAAACAGAAAAGACTTCATTTGATATATGCCCCTGGATTTGTTGAGTGTAACTAAAAGTGGTTTATATCTGGACAGAGCCAGGGATATTACCAAGATCCAAGAGAAGAAACAAAAAGAGCTCCATAGGAACTCAACCAATAATATGTGGACAAATGGCTAATAAATTGTACAGATTTGTTTGGAGAATCAGAAGGGTTTATGATAGTGATTCAGAATCAGGTGATTGCCATCAGAAATTACAGAAGCATTAATCTTAAGAACCCTAGATCAATGTAGATTATGCATTGAAATGGTCGAATCTGCAACATGCTGCTGCAAGTTGGAAACTTGAAGGTACCTAGAAAAACAGGTTCTTTAAAAACAAATTTCACATCCTCATCCTACAAATGCAAATCCCAGAATATCCTTGATGATTAAACAAATAAATGGTGTGGAATTAGAACATATTATAAACAGAATTATGGTCCACCTTTCACCTGAATTTAACCCATTATAATTTTAAAGACATTTTTAATAGAAATTGCCATACCAGATACTCATAATATCCAAACTACATGGAATGAAAAGCTTTCAAAATGAAGGTAGTTGTTCATTTATCACATTGTTCCATGGGAGGTACTTCTGTGGTGATTTATAATAACCAATTTCTGTATTTAAATAAAATATTTTCTAAGTAACTACTTTATGCAAAGCACTATATATTAGGTCCTTTAGAAGATATGAAGCCATTGTTCATACTCTCAAAGAACTTTTATTAGAGTCAGTAAGATCAAATATACATGTATAATTTAACAGGACAGTAAATAAATTTATGATATGGATAATGGATGTTTTGAGAGTTAGAGGAAGTGACGGGGGGACCAGTTCATAGTAAGTTGATTGGGAGGCTTCATGGAGGAGGTAGGATTTAATCTGGGCCTTGAAAGGTGGGTAAAATTTGGATAATGTGAGAGGAAAGAACATTCCAGTTGGGAAGGGGGTTCAAGGAAAAGAGAGAAAGACAGGAAAGTAGTCCAAACTTGAAATAAAGACCTGAACTGGCATGCTGACAAAATGACCGCCAGATTAGGTTTGGTTTTGATTACTTGAAAAACTTCAGCACTTTGTACAGTGTTTGGTTTGGATTTTAAAAATCTATTTGTTTTATGGGGGACATTCAGGTAATAAACCGTTCAACAACTGAACTACCTCTGACTGTGTCGTATGACAAGATATCATTAGGAAAACTCCGTTTTTGGATTCACATGCAAGATGCTGTGTACTCCCTACAACAATTTGGTATGTTGTAACATATGTTACTTAATGTTTTCAGATTTGCATGTGTTTTAGGAAATTCCATGGAACACAATACTGCAGTTAAAGCCCTAATATTCTTTGTTTTTGGCAAGCAGTTCCTAATGCATTACGTTATTTTTCCAAAAATATTTGGCTAATAATTAAACATTGTCATTTATTGACTTTACTGAGCTTATGGGGTTTTTTTGTGTGTTCAAATACTTAGTTTGACTTTTTTAAGCAGAAGTGCATCACCTATGTATTTTTCTTCTTTCAGGTATTTTTTAGAGATTATTTTACATTCCCATTTTAATCATTGCAGTCAGTTATTTGTTTCCCTTATTGCTCTTTGAAAGTGTACTCTTTGTAATATTGTTATTTTCTTAAACTAGAAATGTAAATTAACTGAAACGCCTTTAATTTTTCCCAATTGAACTTTCATTTTTTGATAGACTTATAAAATCTGTATGGTATCGTAAACTAAAAACTGTAGCAGGAGATAAGTTTGGGCCTGCATAATTGATTTTATAATGCAAGTTTTGTTATTTTCTGCAGGATTCTCAGAAAAGGATGCAGATGAAGTAAAAGGAATTTTTGTAGATACCAACTTGTATTTCTTAGCTTTGACTTTCTTTGTAGCAGCATTTCATGTAAGTGAACCCTTAGTACTTTGCTGTTTGTTCTCTGTCAGTATATAGAATGGAAATTTTGCAGTAATAGAGATTAAATATGGATGTTAAACTAAGAATTTTTCCTCTGTAACATTTCCTGCTTTAGCTCTGTATGCCAGTGTCAGTAAAAAACTATAGTGTTTTAATAAGAGCAAATTTAATTATAATCTTTTATATTGTAATCCTTAACTTGGGACTGTTCATATTGCAACCAGTTACACCTTTTCTATTACTTGTAGCATTTACAGCAGGTAATAGCAGACCAGTGAATGTTAATGAATTATGCTCCCTGATGTTCTCTGCGTGAGATTTTCTGTGGCTTCTGGCTTCAGCCTAGTTCCTATTAGTTCCCAGCCAGAACAGGCAGATTTCTGTATCTAAAAAGTAACGAGACTGATTTTGTGGTATGATTTGCAGACTGGTTCCGAAGTCATTTCCAAAAAAAAAAAAGGAATTCATAAATGTTTTGAGTAATAACAGCAACATTAGGTAATAAATCAATCAAAAGGATTTATAGGTGCAGCTAGGTGGTACAGTGGATAGAGCACCGGCCCTGGATTCAGGAAGACCCGAGTTCAAATGCGGACTCAGACATATAACACTCACTAGCTGTGTGACCCTAGGCAAGTCACTCAACCACATTGCCTAGCCAAAAAAACAAAACAAAACCCAAAATCAAAAGGATTTATTAAAGTGCCTATGTGCCAAGCACTATGCTATATCCCTGGAGATACAAAAATAAAAATGAAATGATCCATACCCTCAAGCGCCTTACCTTCTATTAAGTATTGCCTCCTAAAGTGATCCTGTCTCACCTTACTTTATTATTCCAAGTACTTGACCATGCATTTGAGCCAGTATCAAGTGCGATGCGAAAGGCACTGTACTTTGTCGTTGTGGTAGTAAATTAATGAATGGTGATCTGAACAGTCACCATTTCCTTGTATTTCATTCCTCTCACTGTATTTGCAGTCAGAAGAATTAAGTGTCAGTCATAGTAGACATTTCTTTTGTGAGGTTGGCCAAGTTACTTTGATTCTCTGAACCTCACTTTGCTCATTTATAAAATGTGATGGTTGGAGTAGATAATATCTAAGGTCCCTCCCAACTCCAAAATGCTATGAGTGCTTAAAAAGGGACCATAAATAGGGACGAGGTATAACTCACAGAGTCTAAGAGTTTGAGAGTCTTTCCAACTCTTTGACTTTGGCGTCAAGCTAATCAGTCTATCAACAAGTATTTAGGCATTGAGGATACATGTAGAAAGAACAAAGCAGTTTCTTCTGTGAAAGAGCTTACTTTCTGATGGAAGACAACAAATACTTTTAAATATATATACAACATAAATATAAAATTAATAAATATAAATATACACAAAATATAATACATAGTTTAATACAGTTTGAGAGGGAGGGCATGAGCAGTTGGGAGACTCAGGAAAGGCTTCATGCAAAAGGAGATATTTGAACTATGTCTTAAAGGGAAAAAGGGACTCAGGTGTAGAGGGAAGAAGGGAGTGCATTCCAGGCTTATGGCATGTCCAGTACAGTAAGGAGTCCATAGGGACCAATTGAAGTTATTTTGAGTGGGCAAGTCATGCAGTCAGACAGGTGTTTCAGGAAAATTACTTTATGGCATAAAACTAAAGCATAAGAAAAACATAAAGTAAAACAATTTACACATTAAATTTTAAACTCTATAGTCAGTGCCACTATTCATTCCCTAATTGTTTATTGAATGATTGAACTGTCATCCTTTTGGGATCATAAATCTAGAACTGGAAGTAACCTTAAAGGCTATCTAGTTGAATCTCTCTATAATACAGATGAGGAAAATGAGGCCCAAGAAGGTTAAATGACTTTTCATGAAATCACACAGGTAGTAGTAACCATTAGAGGGGAGATTCCAGCCCAGGTCCTTAGACTCCAAAGCCAGTACTCATCCCACTCTTATCATGCTGTCTTCATAGCTAATCATTCTATTATGTCAACATGCCTCCTTGATTCTCCTTGTTTCTAGTCTCTCCTCTTTCCAAATTGCCCTGTGTTTTGCCACCAGAGGAATATTTATAAAAACTTTGTTTTAGTCATGCCTTTCCCTATCTCTGCCTCCCAAGTTAAAATTCAGACCTTTTTTCTAACACTCAAAAGCATCTACAATTTGACTACAGTCTAACTGTAGTTTACATTTTCAGTTTCATTATTCTCCTATGCAGGTATGTTTCCTTATATCCCCCAGACATGCTATGCTTTTCACTGTTTTCTCTCATTATTTGAGTATTCTGGTATTTCTGGTATTTTCTAATATCATTTCATACAATTTGTAACATATATTTATTTGTATATATACTTTATAATATATATAAAGTTAATTTATTTCAGATTCATAATCCTTTTCATTTTGAGTATCCTAATCTTTTCCATCTTTCAAGACCCAGCTGAAATCCCATCTCCAAAACATCTCCCCTATTTAATACAGCCTGTATTGAACTCTTCTTGCTACCCAAGCACTTACTGTCCACTGCTATATTTTGCACTTAATCTTACAATAGCTGTTGTTATTTTATAAATTCTCTGTGTGCCTGAGCTAATACAAGATTTTATTTTTCATCTTTAAATATGGTAAGAATTTGAATCCATGTGTGATTTAAAATAGGGAATTCAACTTGTATGTGTATTTTTAAATTTATCTTGTTTTGCTCTTTTCAGCTTCTTTTTGATTTTCTGGCCTTTAAAAATGATATCAGCTTCTGGAAGAAAAAGAAGAATATGATTGGAATGTCTACTAAAGCAGGTAATTATATATATTATATTGAAGGTAGATGGGATGTGTTGTGTTTTTTTTTTTTAACATCCTTTCCCTATCATGTCATTTAGAACAATGATGATTTATCTGTCAGCCTTGAATGATAGAACAGAATGATACCATTTCTGGTATGCTCATGTCAGTGAGCATAATGTTAATTATAAAGTGTCTTATGAAACACCTTAGATGACAGCCTTTTCAGCCAAAGTAATTACTTCCCAATGTCATGATCACTAGGAATATAAATCATTTCCATCTCTCAGAATGCTGCCCAACCAAAACAAATAGATTCTTCTTCCATAAGAGCTACATAAATTCCCCTTTAAGAGAGTTTCTGGCATATCTATTATAGCAAGGTGGTAATGATGAGAACTTTTGATATTTATGTTTAAAATTTCATTTTTATATCCTAAAGATTGTGAGTGTTTACAATTAATATAGGTTATAGATGAAAAAATTGGGATGGATATCACTAAACAATTGATTACTTCCAGACTTTACTGTGTAAACTGTAAAAACCGGTGAACCATATTAATACATAAAAATTTGTTCATATAATTTCTGTAGATTATGTAGGCTGCGTATTATAGGGCTTGGGTTGTGTGAAGAGAGAAAATTTAACAAATTCAACATACAACAAATATAAAATTCAGCAGAACTGGGCCCAAGGGAATCCTGAGTACTAGATAGCTCTTTAGAATTGGGGAATCCTAGATTATGAGGGTTCTAGGTTGAAGGTGAGAATTCATCCTATGGGAAGATGTTCTTGGATCTTTCTGTCCCAGGGTTTCTCCAAATTGCATGAAGGTTGGACTAGACATTGGGAAGGACTTCCTGCATCCTGGGGCTGGAGATATTGCAGCTGAGATGGACTTATAGGATGGCAAGAGGATTCTAAGGGCTACTCAAAGCCTAGAAAGTCTGGGTGGGGTTAGTGTTATGTGAATAGAGTGTGGGAGGAAGAAGTAGCTACCAGCCTATGGACAGGGGCAGGCGCCACAGAAAGTTTCCTAGAAGGACCTACATGGAAGTGTCGGATTTTCAGGTGAGATCTATCCTCCGCTGTCTCAGGAGGAGGGAAAAAAACACCAAATGGGGTCAGATCTAGCCTTCAGCCTTTTCAGTTTATTTTGTTCATGACTGCTACTTTGTGGATGCAAAGCACAGAGAATGGAGGATGAGGTAATATCCTTTAAACAAAGCTAGGAGTCCCTGAAACTGAGAGAGTAGATGTGCATTACAGGTAGTAGGAAATTCTACAGCAGTTGCTTACTGCAGGAGGCCACCCTAGTTTTAAATTTGTGGACTTTCTTGGTGCTCTGTCCTTTTGCTAATTTAGTTTTATTTGGGAATCCCCAAGGAAAACTACTTACAGTAGTGTTGGTCTATGTGCAATACGAAAACATCACCTTCTACTAGATTGTTAGCATTTTGGATCTTTATAGTTCCAATACCTATCATGTAGTAGGCACTTAATAAATGTTGAGTTAATAACAATGTACAGTTAAATAATCCAATCTATATTTTCTAGAAGACACTTGGAAAATAATATTTTTATGAAATTTTTTTTTCCTCTTTGAAACACTTAACAGATATTCTGACAAAGCTTAAAACTATTAAGTTCTAAAATATTTGCAGTATCTTTGGACTGACTGCAGCTCTCTACTATGTGCTGTAGTGGAAAGAATGCTAGACTTTTAGTCAAGAAGACTTAGATTCAAATCTCACCTCAGAAAAACTGTCATACTAGGCAAGAGTCTTTACTTCTCTGGGACTTGGTTTCCTCTTTTGTAAAATGAAAGTTTTGGACTCTGTAGCTTTAAGATTCCTTCAACTCTAAACCTGTAATTATATGATCTAATTGAGGCACTGTAGATTTTGATTATTACGTTCAAAACTTACTTTGTGCTCAAAATAATTACCTATTAAAGATTGGAAAACCCTGTCTTAATTACATTTGCCTCCTAAAGATTGAAATAATTTTGCTTTGTCATAAAAAACTTGTGTTTATTTTTTTTTTTGTTTTTAGGCAATTGGGGTTAAGTGACTTGCCCAGGGTCACACAGCTAGTAAGTGTCAAGTGTTTGGTCTGAGGTCAGATTTGAACTCGGGTCTTCCTGACTTCAGGGCCGGTGCTCTATCCACTGCGCCACCTACCTGCCCCAGAAAATTGTGTTTATGCCTTAACTTTTAAATCTTATTTCTGAAACTCATTTTGAAGTTTTAATTAAGGGATATTTGGGAGAAGGCTATAAATTTAGGATCATAGAATCTTTAGTACAAAAAGTACTCATGTACTTATTTAAGTCCAGAAATCAGATTGATCACTCTATGGAAACTCTTTCCCTACATGCAGCACTGGTAGGTTAAGCATCTTGCCTACCCATGGTCATACAGATTGTGTGTGTGTCTGTGTGTGGTGTGTGTCTGTGTCTGTGTCTGTGTGTCTCAGAGTTTGGAATTAAACCCAGGTTATCATGATTCCTGGCCTTCTGTCTACAGCCTTCAACTTCTGCAACAATGTTGTGGAGAGTGCTGTGGACTCCTGGATGGGAAGTAAAATAATCAAAAGTTATTTTCCAAATTATCAAGAAAAAGTTCTTCTATGAAAATACTATGTATGCATATGCCATTTGTATCATGAGTCAACTTTGTTCTCTTTTTTTGGGCATGGTACATTTTACTTTAGAATATTTTGCTTTATACATGTGCTAAATTTCTATGCTATTTTTCTTAAAGTAGATGAGAAATTAAATTGCTCTTGAATTGTTTCTTAGTTTTCTCTTCCTAAAATCATCAGTGTGTAAATAGAAAGGTTTGGTTTTCCCTAAAAATCAGTTGTGGTTTGACTTCAAGGATAGTATAAGCAGTCCAAGGCTCTGGAAATAGAAATGCAGAATATGAAACTCTGAAATTACTCTGTAATCTTACAGGAAATTAATGTGTGGTTGTTTCTACAGTGCTCTGGCGATGCTTCAGTACTGTGGTGATATTTCTTTTCCTTTTGGATGAGCAGACAAGTTTATTGGTGCTGATTCCAGCAGGCATTGGAGCAGTAATCGAAGTGAGTTTCTCTCAGCAGCTACTAGAGGACAATGTCTATGTAATTTTAATTATAAAATTAAATTTTACAAACTTAATTTTTACTTTGTACCTTAGGGTATTGAATAAATGTTTTTGGGAACTCTGAAATACAAAACCTTTAACACATGTGTTTTGGTAATACTGTTTTTTAATCGTGAATGATGCTATCAACTAAAAAACTTCTTAGAAATTAAGTTTGTACTAACAATTTTTGCAATACTTTGAAGAAGGGAGAAAATGGTCTTGAAGTTTTTTGAATTAACCAACAATAGGAAATATCTATGTCTGACGGACCTCTGTTTTTTATAGTCTCTGGGCATATAAATATAATTACCAGTCAATCAACAGATACTTATTAATTGACTGCTATTAACCAAGCACTGTATTTAGACATTGTACTAAAGAAGTATAATATCGATCTGAATATAGGGCCTCTTACAAAATAAAAGCTCTGAAAGAAGAAAAACATAGGTATTTTACACTGGAAAATTAGAGATCACATCAAGGATTTTATACATTTCTGGATTTGGAAACATACCATTGCAAATATTCAGATTCAAAATCTATTTGAGACATTTTCCCTAACTTCTAGGAACTTGTGATCTTAATGGGGAGATAGGACTATTATATACAAAACAATTAGAGATCGTGTTCAACAGTATATAGTTAGATATTATAATACCAACATTAAGTATAATCACTTATAAACAGGAAACAGAAGCAGAACTCAAGTTGTCATGTCTGCACAGTGAACTAGGCAGCCTGACTTACAGTGTAGAAATGCTTTTGAAATATAGTTGGGAAACATGGTTGAATTAGGAGTAAGGAAGGGAAAATAGTGGAGGACTTTGAGAGTCTGGCTAAAGAGTTTAGAATGTTTATGCAATTGGCACATAAGCAATCATCCTAAGTTCTTTAGCAGGAAAATAATATTATAAAAGAAGTGTTTTGGGAAGATTAGTCCAGTGGTATTATAGGAGAGGTTGTAAGAGACAGACTGGATTCAGGCCATTTTGAAAAGTAATAATAGGAGGTGATGAGGGTCTACCTAGGGTAGTGGCAGTGGATGGAGAATAAAGGGATGAAACCAAGTGAGAGTTGTATAGAAAAAAATAACAGAACATCTTACCTAATTAAGTATGGAAGATGAAGAAGAGAAAATTAAAGATGACTCCAAGATCACTAACATAGAAGTCTAAGAAGAAATGGTGCTACTGATAATCAGAAGTTAGGACGTATATCAGTGCTTTGTAAACATTAAAGTATTACATAAATCTAAGTTATTGTTAATATTAAGGGATAAATTAGGGAGAATTTTGGGTCTACATGGATTTAGGAAGTATGTGATCAAAACTTATTTGGAGGCATATTGAGTTTGAGCTGGTGATAGAAATAGAGATATTGAGCTTGAATTGGTAGTGGAAAATCCAATTGGAAATAGGGTAAAGGAGCATAAGGAAGAGAGGTCATATCTGGAGATAGATGTTTGGGGATCATAGGTATGGAAAGGACTGTTGAAGTAATGTGAAAGAATGAGCTATTAGAGAGAGTGACTGTAGAAAGAAAAAAGAAAAGGGCCTGAGAACAGATTGCCATAGTTAGGAGGTGAGAGGAGAAAGAAGAATCAGCTAAGGAGACCTAGAAATCCAGAGGGGATGAAATAGAAAAGTGTAATGCCATGGAGACTAAGGGACGACAGTTTCTAGGGAAGGGGATTTCAGCATTGTGAAATAACCATAAAGACTATATGTTGATGTCTTTGTTTAAATGTTGCTTAGTTTTAGTATTATTTCTGTTCTTGGTATAAAAAATTACATGTTGGCACTTTTCCCTCAGCTATGGAAAGTGAAAAAGGCATTGAAAATGTCCATTCAGTGGAAAGGCCTAAGACCCACATTCCAGGTAAGTTGAAGATTTTGATGAAATACGTGTGACAGAACATTTTTGTGTGATATGTATATACAATTATATATACACATACATATATTTACAGCCTTGCAATTAACCATTTACTGGTCTAGAGTAAGTACAAATTTATTCAGTTCATACTGGGTAAAGAATATAGATTTAATTTACTTTTTCCATGACTTTGATAAAGGAGGAGCAATAGGTTTTACTTGTTTATTTCTTAAATTGGTCAGTTTATCATTAAAAAAGATATTAAAAACCTTCTTGGTGGGGGTGGGGGACATCATAGTACTACTGTGGGGGATATGTTTAGAAAAGTATTAATATCCATCCTCAAGAAACTTACTTTGCAGAAGTGGGGGAGAAAACCATATTCACAAATAACTTAAATCTAAAATATGGATGGGTGCTGTAAGAGTGGTTCAAACAAGTCACCAATAGTTGAGAGAAGAGAGAGAGAATGTCTGTAATGGGAAGAGAGGGGAAGGCTTCATGGAGAGGTATGGCTTGGTCCCAATTAGTGCAAAT